CATTCAAATTACCCAAACTCGATTGTATATTACTGCTTAAGTCCAGCTGTGTTTTGTATATTTCTCGAAACGACCCCAAGAGAACACAGACTCTGTTTGTCACCCATTGAATAGAACATACATATAACAATATAAAACAAATACCGGTCGTTTAACCACTTTACTGACACAATGATACTCCTATAATTATTATAATATAGATGTCTAGCTTCAGTCTTAAAACTTACTTATGATACAATTAGAGTGATTTCCCCAAACTGAGTTTCGTATCTACTTATGATATATAATGCGTAAATATAATCTGATCCGTGCAGAAAAAAATAATCTGATCCGTGTAGAAGACATGCAACTTTTAAAGTAATTTTAATAAAATATTCTAAATAAGTTTCAACCAACAAGTAGGTGTGTCCATCCAGCATTAATTCTATGACGTAAACACATAGCTAGTGTGAGCTAAATTAAAACGTTATTTAAATTATTTATCTTTCAGTAAATCAATTCTTTCGTTTCAATATGTAGGCTAATTCCACCTAACCTACGTAAAACTACGTGATCTCTCACATTCTGTAACGCGACCTATTTTTACAAAGAAAGCGTGTGGGCTAAGATTCCCACTTGACTTCCGTGAAAGTAACTATCGACCCAAACATTACTGATTATTATTACTGATTATTACTGATTATTACGTCTCATTGTGCTGGTGGTATCTTATGGTTACTTTACATACCACTCACGGTTGTATATAAAAAAAATAATAAAACGTAATATTTGAACCGACATAAATGTGCTAGCGCCACAAACACAAACTTCGCTCCTCTTGAGTCCAGACACAAACTCAAATTTTCAGTCGATTAACGACTGCATAATGTTATTGACTTTTAACAAACTGTAATTTTAGGGACAAAGAAACTCATGGAATACATGTCAATGTAGAAGTGGGGTGCAATTATGCAAGATTTGCACAAGCTAGAAACCAGTTTCACCTAAAAAAAAAAAACCCCCCCCCCCCCCCCAAAAAATTTTTTTTTGGGGGGGGGGGGGGGGGGGGGGAGCGGTGAGTAGGCAGATTAAACTCACTTTATTTTCTGAGCACCATGTGGAATTTCTATTTTTTAAAAAGGGGGGGGGGGCGTGCTACACCCCCAAAGTCCCGATTTGGCTCAAAATTGTGGAATTTGATTTGTAGGCATTTTTAGCTTTCTCAGCCTCTCCTACAACTATTTAATTGCATAAGAACCCCCCACAAACCTAATTTTTTCCCATACCGGGCATGTTTGTCACCACCATTTTCTCATAAAGTCAATATTTTACTTTTCTTTATCGGCCGTTTTCTCAAAACGCGATTTTTCTATACACTGTTTTGAATAACTCCACCATTTTCCATCCAATCTTCATGAAATTTTCACAGAATGGAGAAAAGATGTAATACTAAAATTTCTTTTTTGAATTTCGGATATATGAAATAGAATTTTTTTGGTGGTGTCTGAGATGTGAATATTTACGGATTTTTTGCAAACTTGAATACTACCTGAGGAACAAATTCATTAAAAAATGTTCTAATTCGTTCAGGAAAGTTTGTTGTGAACACTTGTTATGTGTGTGAAATTTGGTAAAATTTGGTCCACTAATAAGCCAGATTGCCTTCAGGTGTAGCCCCCCCCCCCCTTAAATAAAGGCTTACGGACAAGGTGTAATCACCAAAGAGTTGACGGTGTTTGTAGCTTTCAGTGCCGAAAAATGTCAGTAGAGCTGCCGATCAGAATGAAAGTACTGAGGCCCTACTTCGCGAAAAGACGAAAGGAGGCCAATACCACTTGACCCACAGCCCAAGAGTCATATCGACTGGTCCTCGACCTTGAGGTAGAACAGAATGCATTTGCGATGAACAGCAAGGTCACTGCCCTTGTAACCCCAACCTAGAATAAAATCCAATATTTTGGATTACTGTACCTTGTGCAGCACATTGCTCCTTGTTGGCTACAATTCCCTTTCAGCTGCGTGTGGTAGAAAATGTTAGTGATGTTGTTGTTGGGATGTTAAGGAATGATGCCTTTTTCAGATTTAAGTGTTCTAAGGGAAGCTGAATAATGCATTTCTTTGGTGTCGCAAGCAATTTTCTTAAATCTCTTTGGGTAATTTCTACACAGGAGACCCCCCCAAAAAAACACACACAAAAAAACACCAAAAAACAAACAAACAAACAAAACAAAAACAAAAAAACAAAACAAACCGACTAGATCTAGTTTTAATTTTTGTTCTGTTGTTCCTATTAGGAATCATGAAAAGCAAGAAAATCGTAAGCCCTGACAACAGTAATAAACTGCTTTTTGATATATTGTTGAAAGGTGCGTCTTTGATAGAGCTTTAAGAGGATGTAAAAATCGAAAATTTTAAAAGTTGGACTTGATTAGATTGCTTATGACAGTGACGACTTGGTTCGAATCGTCCCTAAAAGAATAGCTGCAGTTTAGAGTGTTGGGTTTCTTTGTGTTCTACTCCTCGTTGTGAGTGATTTAGGGCAACGTATAGACGCTAATGGGTCCTGTTATTGTTCCGATTGGTCACATGCACCTAAAGGTCTTAACTTTACAATTATTGCATTATTTAAATGGTTGATATATAT